ATGAGATCACATTGCAAACACTTCTTCATTGCGTTTGATGGGATTTTACAAGGGCAGTCTATTTATAAAAGTACTTTAAAATTCGGTTAAATCGTCATGACTTTTCGTGATGGTCAATCAAAACAAATTATCTGAATAACGCACTAAATAAATACCAAGTAAGCTTTCGGTCAATAAAAAAAGTGTGTTGTCTTTCACCACCATTACGCTTGACCGCGTTTAATAAGAGTAAATCATTTGATAACAAAATTCATGTGTCTACTCATTCAACAAATTACTATTTAGAGCTTTCGAATAATTTTTATTTGATAAAAGTTAAGGAGGTAATTAGAACATCAGATATGGCTTCTTGGAACTTGAGTTAAGACTCATTTTTTTTCATAAAATGTCGAATATGAGGATAACAACTTCTACAAACACAAACAAAGCGTAAATTATTGAATAACGAAATCTTCATACGAACTGAAATACTATTTGAAAACCCAATGTGTATCTATCTATACATGCAAATTTTTTCTTTTAATAATCTATTAAACGTATACCAATGGCAACATCGCGGGTATAAAATATCAACTTTTTAGGTGGGATGGAAGTTAATTTACTCAGTTAGTATGTGTTATGTTGATAAAAGTTGTGGTGAGGCCTTTTACGTTTCGCAAATGCTTGTCATATACTTCTTGTTTGTTATAAAACTGCTTTAAATGAGGAAAATATTCATATTACAACACTTCAAAACTTTAAAAACCAATTTCCTAAAATTTACGAATTTTAACTTTCTCTACTACGGTTACCCTTGTTCAGTAACATTCATACTTATTCTAAAAAAAATAAATAAATAAAAAAAAAAAAAAAACTCCTGTTACGACAAAAATTGAAGAAGATATTTAAAGTCTGAGAGCATATTCGACGTCGTTTGCAAATGGAAGCTCGAAATATTTGCATTTGTACTAAACTGAAAAAGATATATCTATTTTGTAAATTCTTTCTGAAGTTAATAGGTTAAGTCACGAACATTGCTGTGCAGACTTTGTGATAAGCATTGATGACTATAAATGTTTTTCTAAAGAATAATCTTATCCACGAAATCATATGGAATCCATGTTCTAGAAAACAGGAGCAGGTTTCAGTATTAGCATACAGCCAAGTCCTAACATTATTTGTGCAAAGACAAAATAATAAAATATTTTGAGTTTAATTAATATTATATGTGATTATTAGATTATGATTCTAAAATAATAAAGCTGAAAGCTGTTTTTAGCATTCGAAAATTCATAAATTAAATGTGAGAAAGTATTGTCATTATAACATATTTTACAAAATTATAAATTAAAGAATGTTACACACTCATAAAATCATAAAAGAATGTTACTGAGTTGCGTTAAAGGGAGAAATAACCTTATATTATTCTAATTTAATTTTAATAACAATTAAAAATTTTGGGGGACATTGAAAAATCTGAAAAAAAATTTTCAGACTGAAAAAAAAAAAAAAAAAAAAAAAAAAAAATTACATGTCGGTCTGTTTTTATCGTCAATGTTGTGAGTTTAATTTTTTGTTTGTTTTTAGAATACTTTATAGGGTTCCTCACTTTGTAAAGGCTATGTTACTGTTGAACATGAAGAATTTTAAGAACTGATAAGCGAATAATCGCTTGAGTTCGTGTGACAGGAAACAACAAGATGGAAGGGTAAAAAACCCTTTATTATTCAACTAAGATTTAACAGAACTCCGTCATGGAGTGTACAGTAAAAGCCGACATTTGGGCTTGAACTTAAGAGACTAAGAAGTAAACTAAAACTAATCTAAACTAAAAAAAGAGATATAGCCGAAGCTATCAAAGATTTTAAATTAGTTGGCCCCTTAAACACGATATGACTGCGAAGGTATCAAGGGCCTGAGTACGGTCGAGCGTAATAACAGCTTTGAGAGAAAAATTGCCAAAAAGGCGGGCGCGCTCTAATCAGACACTCTGATTCTCTCTAACTCAGCAAGTAGAACTTCGCGGTTAAATACCGCTCTTCCTCATTATATGCTCAGACGTGATTTAAAACTACGTTCTGGCCGGAAGTAGTAAGTTGAAGTTAAGAATTTGACAGGAAAGAAGTTTAACTCAAAATTTAACTGCTAATAAAATTAACACAATCCTTACAACTTTAATACTAAATATATATAAGGATTATTTTAGGAAACCTAAAATTCTAAAATTTACGAATTTTAACTTTCTCTACTACGGCTACCCTTGTTCAGTAACATTCATACTTATTGTAAAAAAAAAAAAAAAAAAAAAAAAAAAAAAAACTCCTGTTACGTAAAGTAAAATTTTTGTAATTTTTATAAAACTGAGTTTTAAATTAAAAAAATATCAAAACAGAAATATTTGGGGTATTTTAAAATAATTTTATAATAATAATCTACGACTAATGGTTGCGAAAATAAAGACTGCATATGAGGACTTTAGATTAACTGATAAAGGAAATGGAATTTAAAATTATTAAGATGAATGATAATGAAGGTCAACGGAAAAATTGAAACCTTTTAATATTGTATTTAATAAATAGAGTGTCTTTTTAATGTATTTAAATAAACACCGAACGAATAGTTAGAGGATGCATTCGTGCAAAAATATTACATCAAAATTCATTTTAAATCTTCACAAACAATTAATAAAAGTATTTATAACATCAAAAACACAATGTGCGGCTTTTAAAATGAATTGTTTTGATTATAGTAATATACAAGCATTAATTAAATTATTAAGAAGAATTTCTTAAAGTTACTATTCTCCTTATAAACCAGAATATCACGCATTTTACCCTTAGATTCTCTTGCTATGTATAAAAATTTGATGTGCATCGAAATCATACTAGCAGAAACAGTGGAGTTACCTGACTTTGGAGAAGGTAGTGCGGGACAAAAAGTCACAGCGGAAGTAAAACAGCAAGGCCAAAATTTTGAATTTTGAGACATCGCCACATAAAATGTCGTGATAAAATAAAACGGTCAATAAAACATTATAACATCCAAATAATGCTGTGCTAAAAAAACAAATATGATAAACATAAAAAAGGTTTTTTATCGGTCTTTTCACTTCTTAGAAGTATAAAAGAGGCATATTTCTGCTGTGATTTATTTCAACTTTGGTCTACCGGCGGCCAATTAAAGAAGACCATCGATCAGTACTAATTCCAGCAGGGGTTTAAACATTGGTGAACCGATTGATTGAATGAGCAACTTTTTCATTGTTCAACTACGTGTAATGTGAATAGGAGCCAGTTTACTTTAGAATGTCCTCCATAAAGGCATCCATTTATTAGATAAATATTTTTCCTACCGTGCTTTAATATAATCGATTAATAAGAAATTTATTATTGCTTGCTTTCAATCAGGATGTTTTGAAATTGCGAAGACTTTTTATTGCTTTCTACCATGATATTTTACGAAGATATTTCAAATTCGTGAAGTCCCCTCACGCCTTCTGCCGTCTAGCAAAATTTTTCCTTCGTGTTGTCATTCGTAATATTTTCATCTAGAATCGTAACTTTAGTATGACTTCCATTTTCTTCCTTTGTTTAAGAAGAAGACCTGACAAATTGCTTTCACATATATCTTCATGTACGTTTTTATGGAAATTTTTATATTTCCTTCCCACAAATATATGAAAAATTTTCTTGATTTTATAAAAGTAAGCAGGGCAATATTTAGACAAGAAAGGAATTAAGCTTATCAAAGATATAAAAATAAAAAAGGAAGAGATAAATATTATCTCAGTCAATATCTTACTATTTCAGTACTTTCTATTATATCAGTTAGTTAGCTAAAGTGCGACCTTATTTCTCTTTGTTTAAAAAACCGCTAAAAATTTTTAAAATGGAATTCGCGTCTGCTTATCTGATGTTTTGTTCGAACTCGCCTTATTTTATTTGATACATAACTTAATGTGTATTTAATCTTAAGTAAGCATCTTCGGATCCTTGGTGCTCGAGCACAGCGTCTGCTGTAGATGTCTATTAAACTAGAGGCATGTGTGTCTGTGGGCTTTAGTCATTTTCAGTGAAAGTGTCGGGCACATTTTATCTTTAAAAAAAAAAAAAACCTCCCCCCCCCAAAAAAAAAAGCTCTAAAAGCTTTTAGATTTTACATTACGCCTAAAAGGGCGTATTTTTAACGTTTTGTGTCTTACCTTTATTTATTAAATATCATGTGTTTAATCTCTATGAAAATTAGAACTGTAAAAAAAATCTAGTTTTAATTTGTCTAATACTGCTTTGATCAATGAGTATTTTTACATAAAAACGCGTTTTTCTCCAAACGTGATTTTTTTATACCCGATATACCTTTTCTGAGAAACTATTGCTCACAGGTATCTAAACTTTTTATGGCTTATTTATTAGGTTCCCTAATATTTACTGGAACGAGCTTTTTGTAAACTTAGGAAAAAAAAATTTAATTTTTTTGTGTGAGAAAAGTGCTAAATTTTACTATGCCTAACAAAATATTCTGTAATTTAATCTAAAATTCAAAATATTTCAAAAGCTCATTTCAGTATAATCAGATAGGTATACTTTAATTACAGAAAAAATTTCAAGCTTGTATCTACAGCAGGTTTTGAGAAAAGGTACATCGAAAATGGTGAATTTAACATTGTCGGTATAGGGGTTTCTGATACCCCTTAAAGAAGTTATGTTTTAGTTCTGGTTTCATCAACAGATGTCGCCAGTAGCTCATGTCCTGTCCAGGCTTCCTTATCTTATCTTATCTAATCATTATATCCTATCTGATTCATTTGCGCTTTTGCAGCTGAGGTTATGATGGTTCGGTAATACCAGTCCTATGAAAATTTGAATATATACTGCTGATTTTTGTTGTTTGACTTCTAAATTAATATTTAGGAGTTGTTTCAATGTTAGACAGAAATGATAAATATTTTTTTCTAGTTACATGTGAAAAAATCTGACACTTAGCAAGAACTTCGACATAAACTAAAATTCTAAATAAGAGGATTCGACACAAAGAGAGTTTATTGCATGTTATAGACTTGGAGTCAGCCATTTGATGTCCGTTGTGTCAAAGAAACTTAGTTAAATCATTTGACAACAGATAACTTGCTCAGATATTCAATAGAGTTAAACATTATTTGGATATTTCATTTTTTATTACTTTGAAATTATTTTAATAAAACACAATCTTTAAAAAATGCTTAAATAAATATGTACAGAATAATGAAGCTTGTCATAAATTTGTCAAGGCTGAAACAATTTTCTTGTTCTGAACTTGTTGTAGAGATATGGAGCTACAAGCCATATGAGACTACATGTTAGGGAAGTGATTCCTAGAAGGTAAAATACACCAGAATAACATCCGATCTGATCACGGAAATGCCCTGCAATTAAAAACAAAAAATCTTATTGCACAAAAGTCACAAATAAGCTAATGCTATTTCTTTACAATTTATATCAAATTAAAGTGAAACAGCCCTAAGATGACCACCAACGATTCCAACCAATTTTGAATTAAAGTGGTCGTTTTAGGTAGGTGATGGTCGCCGATATTTACTCATTTGCTAAGAAATACTGAGCACTTTCCAGAGATAGTTTTCTATGGGAGATGGTCGCTTGACTGGACTTAAGTTCAATGTTAACTTTTGCAGGTTGGATTTTCCTGCTTTCAGTAAATTAATTGCTTTCATAATAGCTGAAAATAATTCAAAATTACGAATGCATTTATAATTTCAGAATTTATACATGAAAATTATAAAAGTATAGACAGTTTGAGTGTATTATAGATGAGTAGCGCATGCGACTGTATACCGAATATATGACAGTTTTTACTAGTTCTAATGCCACCATTTTCTTATAACTTTCTGACTTTTAAATAAGATAGCATTAAAAAGGATTGAAAATATTAGCCTAGTATAATATTCAAATGCGGGTCATCCGACCTTCCGTTTATTCTGACGTGGTTGACAGAAAAAAAGTAGGTAAAAAATTAAAAATTGTTGAACGTTACATGAGTAAACAATATTCCCGTTTTATTCTTGATCTAGATTCTATTAGCTTAAGTCACTACATCTACTCGGTGCGTTAATTTCAGTTCCAAGCCGGATTTCGCAAAGAGTTGACGTTTTGTTTATTCTCTGTTCTTATGGCCAGTCGGGTTTACAGAACAGTATTTTTATCTTGTATTTACGTATTCTGTTCTGTGGTGCGTTGTGATGGCTTCAAAAAGGAAAAAAAAAAGTGTCCGTTTGTGTGGAAGAAAATCTGAAAGCTTTGAAGAGGTTGGACAAAAGTGAAACGTAACGAAAAAAATGGAACGGAATCATAACGTAGGAGACTTGAAAAGGAACAAAAAAAAAAAAAAAAAAAAAAAAAAAGACATAAAAAAGTGGTGTTCCCTACAAATGATAACTAATGCTATGAAACAAAGCAAATCAATGTAAAAATACGAGCATGAGAACGTTAAAGAAGCTTTGCTTATTTTGTTTGCTAAACAAAGATATAAAGGTGTCCCAATATCTGAACCAATCTGAAGAAAAATGCTTTGAAATTCCAAAAGGAATTTAATGACACCCTAATGTAGTGTTGGGTGGCTTGACGGGCGGAAGAAAACGTATGATGTAGGGCTGGTAACCAACCAATGTTGTCGGTTTCAAACGATATAAAATTTCTAGCGCATTTTGGACAGGCTACAGCATATATTGCTCACAATTTATGCTCCGGAAGCGCCAGTGTAGTGGTGCCATCTATTATTACTATTTTAAACATTTAAAAAAATTATTTTTAGCACCGCAAGGAATATTTTCATTGAAGTGAGATGAAATCTAATCGAACAGAATCTCATTAATTCTTTTAGAGTTGATCGATTAATTAACATTTCTACACTTTATTAGCCACCATTTCTGGGATCATCTTGCTCTATTTTGAATTAGAATCACTTTTTCACTTTTTGGAGGACTGTCCCGCGTCTCGCCGATTTTTAAAAATGACCCGCTTTTTAGAAAACATCTGCATTTCTTATTTTAAATGTACTGTAAAAATATATTACCTATTATTTATTAATTACTATAGTAAATATAAAGAAACAAAAAATACATAACATAAAAAAAAAAAAAAAAAAACCCCATAAAATGTACGCAGAGTAAACTAAATTAGGTGATGTAACGAGTTAGATTATTAGGCGATTCTAATTCGTTAATAATACCATTAAATCTAATTCGTAAAATTAGATATTAATGGTGTTGGATCATTGTCGTTGTGTCTCGTCAAGGAATATGTATTGTCAATGGAGGAACAGCTAGCATTAACTGATGGGCTGTTTGTTTTCCACACCATAAACCACAATCAAAGTTTCAGATGAATTGATTGTACGTCGCAAATGATCAAAACATTGTGCGACAAAAAATTTGCATGTGCAAAGCCAAAAAACGAAGCAATTATTTGTAATGTTTTTTCACCATATTCGTTTTTGCAATTGCAGAAAGAATTAGATTTAAATGCGCATTTATATCCATATATTATGATGCTTCCAACCACAAAGTTTTAAAATTATTTCCCCCAATTTTTGATCCAGAAACAGGAAAAAAAAATATTAGATTTTGTTTCATTGATAGGTGAAACTTCATAAATAATTTTTGATTCAATAAGTACTAGAAAAAATAATTTGATTAAAAAGAATAATTTGAACAATACTATTATTGCCTATTGTGAGGACAACACTAACGCAAATTTTGGTGGAAAAGTTAGAAGAGGCTTCAATAACATTTTAACATTTGAACCAAAAAGTTTGTGTAGTAAAATTCAGGATTTTACGAATTAAATAATTTCTTATTTTGCTGAATTAATTAGATATTAAGTTTAATTTTTTTGTCTCTAGAAAGAAGCATATATACGTGTATATTTACTTTAAAGAGACTCTTCTTTTTATTTTTTCACTTAATTCTTAATTTGTTGGGATACAGTCTTCGAACCAGTGCCTCGAGTAAAATGTACGTAAAAATATAAAGAGAAGAATTTAACGAACTGTAATGGATTCATTGTGAAATGTTAAGTTTGATTTAAGGTGTTGATGTAAAAGAACAGGATGTAAATACGCATATACATTCTTTGTCGCTAAAACTCAATTCAAATCAATATATAAAGAAATCTCACTTACCTGTCAGACGCATTCTCGACTTTTATCATTTTCTCTATATTTTATTGACGACATAATTAAATACATTAACAATAAAGAGAGACACATATAAACTTTGGTTAATGTTTCGCGTTGGTGTTACATCTTTCGCAATCATCAAGGTTCTGCACTAGTCCGAAGAATTCAAGCGCACACAAGCGCCATCTAGTGCAATACAGTTTCTACGGACTGCCCCCGAATGACCAGGGGTTCATTCAAACACTTACATTAATATAAATTTAACAAAAGAAACTTTTACAATGTAAAGTTCAATCAATTCACATATTAAAGAAACTACGCTTATTTACTATATAAACAAATCATTCATCTTTAAACAATTTGTAAAGTTACGTGCAATAAAGTATAATAAAGATAATAAGCTGGCAACTCAATACCTGTACATACATTAAACTTTCATCACATATATGGAATAGTCCTGTAACAATAATACAGATTAATAAACTTATAATAAACAATTAAATTTATTCATTTATTTCAAGATTGTATAAAAGCTGCACAGGTCTTTTAATAACTGATGTACCTGTTTTAATTTCACAAGACCTTACTTTTCCATCTCTGCCAGGAAATACTGTTACAACTCTTCCTAATTTCTAAAATGTCTAGGTAGCTTTTCATCATGAATTAATACAATATCATTAACTTTAAATTCAGTAATTTTACCTGAAGGTTAAAACACAATGAACAGATCTCAGCATTAATAAGTATTCATTTTTCCATTTATTCGAAAACATACTTACCAACCTTTCTCGATAATTAAATCTTTTAATTAGCATTTTCCTATTAACTAAATTAGAATCAAAATGAAGCCTGGCAGGAGGCAAACTATTCACCCTGCGCCCCAATAGCACATGAGCTGAAGTTAGAGGCATAGGTTCCTGTAATTCAGAATAAACATAAGTTAAAGGACGAGAGTTAAGAACACCTTCAATTTCAATAATTAGAGTTTCTAACTCTTCTCGAGATAAAGTGGTTTTTCTTAGAGTTTTCGTAAAGCATGTTTTACAGATTTAATTAGTCTTTCATAGAAGCCACCCTACCACGCAGCTTTCTCAGCGATGTAGCACCATTGGATTTTGTAGGCGTAAAAGTCTTTTACTGTTGGATGACTAATTACAGTCCACAAATTTTTAAGTTCAAGTTCTGATCGTTTGAAAGTTTTGGCATTGTCCGTCAAAACTTGAGAACATAGACGAGCAATGAATCGTCGAAAAGCAAGAAGAAATGTTTTTGTGGTCATGCTACCAACAAACTCTAAATGAAGAGCTCGCGTTACTCCACAAGTAGACAACACGATGTAGTTTTTCTCATCACTGTCTTTGGTATAAAGTGATCCACCGAAATCTATATCTACTACAGAAAAAGGACGTAATTCTTCTGTTCTATTTACTGGTAAAGGAGCAGTAATTTGCACACCAGGAGATGAATTAAATCGTTTACACAGAATACATTTTCTTAAGATATTTTTAACAGTTTGTCTTCCTTTAATTATCCAGTATCTTTCCCGTATTTCTATCAAAGTTTCAGAAATTCCACCGTGAAACACTTTGCTGTGTGCATCCCACACTAATAAATTCACAAAGTGATGTTTTAAGGGCATAATAATTGGGTGTCTTTGAAGGTAAGAAAGTCTTGACTTCTAAAGTCTTCCACCAACATGCATTATCCTGTCATTATTAAGAAAGGAATTCAGTTCTAGAATAGAGGAAGTCTTAGAAATTGTTTTACCCTGTCTCAAAGAGGACAGCTCTTCCACAAAAGCTTCACTTTGAACAGTTTTTGTCCAGATAATTTCAGCCTCGTTAAAAGTGCTTAGTTCACACAATCGTTTAGTTTTAAATTTAGGTTGCAATATAAATCGTAGTATCCAACTTGTAACACGGTATAATTTTCTTTAACTACTATATCTATTCAAATCCATTAAATGTGTCAAATTCGATTGCACTTCGCACACAAAAGACGATACTTCTTCCAGTTTACTTCTTTTTTCGCAATATACTTCTGGAGAAATCTCTCGACAAATTTCATAATTAGAGCCTTTTGGCCAATCCCTTTTCTTCAACCGAAGCCATTCTTGACCTTGCATCCAAATCGAACTGGACATAAACTTTTCCACTGTAGTTCCTCGAGATATGAAATCTGCAGGATTATCCTGCCCACTACAGTGATTCCAATTAGCAGGATCAGTTCTAG